TTGTGTCATCTATAGCTCAGGTTGTTAATGAGTATTTCTCTAATCCTGATGCCACATTCTTCTTCGTATAGTTCAGCTTCTTGGATTATTTGCTCATTGGTGATTCAAACGCACCATTCATTCCTTGAAAACTGTTCAGGTTGCTTATTAGTTGGAACTGACTTGACAGCACTTAACAACAACAACAATACAGACTGAATAAGTATGGTTAAAGGATACAACCACGACACACACAAATATAGATCGCTTCAGTCTGTTGGCCATGTAACTGTCTTCTAATTTCTTGACGTAGATGAATGAGCATTTCTAGTGTTGCATCTCTTTATTGAAAATTCTCAGTATTCTGTCAATTCCTAGAGCTTTGTTTTTCAGCAGTGTTTCAATGCAGCACGGACTTTTTCCTCAATACCACCAGTTCTTAATCTTTTGCTACCTCTTGAAGTGGTTGAACACTAACAATTCTTAGTGGTACAGTGACATTGTGTATTCCTTCCATCTTTTGATGCTGCCTGCATAGTTCAGTGTTTTGCCTATAGAATCCTTGAATAATTAACTCAAAGCTTGAATGTTTCTTCAACTCTTTAGCCAGAGAAATGCCAAACATGTTCTTTCCTTTTTTTATTTCCAACTCCAGCTCTTTCCATATTTCATTATAGTACTTTACTGCTCGTGTTGCCCTTTGAAATCTTCTGCTCAGCCCTTTCATTTTACTTTAGTATGATCACTAGAATCAATGTATTCAGAGCTAGTTTTGAGTTTTGTTGTTGCTCTCATTACCTTCAGATTCCTCTAGTATTAACCTTTTTTCAGCATGAAACTTACTCTTTCTGTAGTGTTTTACTGCCTTTCTGTTAGCTTTAGGCTTTTTCTGTCTATGCCTAGGAGAGGCTCTCCATACTCATTCCTTCCTTAAACTGTTGCTTATTTGTCTGTTCCTGGTAGCCTGGGGTGGCGAAAAAGCATTCTCTTTTGTTCTGATTTATCCTCAGTCTAAGCCAGGCTCTCTTTCCTTGAGTTTTAAGGGTGTTTTCTCATTGATTTTTCCCTTTACCATGTGATAGAAAATATTTAATGATCTAAATCCAGATAATTTGCTTTCTCTTTTCCATGGTTTAGGAACCCTGGCATTATAGTTGGTTAAGCATTGGACTTTAACCATACACTCAGTGGTTCAAACCCATCAGCTGCTTTGCAGGAAAAAATGAAGCCTTCTGCAGCTGTAAAGATTTACTGTCTCAGAAATTCTAAGGACTAGTTCTACTGTGTCATATAGGCTCACTATGAGTCAGAATGGACTCAATGGCAGTGGGTTTGGTTTGGATAAAAGTTCTTTTGTTGTTTTTTTTGTTTTGGTTTATTTTTCTTTCCCTAGTAGCGGTGAGGCTTTACTTGTACCCTTGGGGTGATAAGATTTGTAGCTTTTCTTCAAATAGTTTAAATGTTTCTTTTTTCTTTAGGGAAAGGAGGTCAGATAGAGTTTTAATCGTATACCATTCTGGCAGCTGCTCCTCTACTCCAAATCCAACAGAATAGAGATGGCCTTCTTCTATCTCCCACTATGCCTGAATTATTTTTCATATATACCTAGTGAGGTCTATATAGAAGAGCATTCAAGAGAATGTATACTTTTTCAGTCATTGACTTAAAAGTTCCTGTGCTCTCTCACTAGTTCATATTTGGTTATCATTTTTTTTAAAAATCAGAATGATTTATATCTGCAGTATGGTGTTTTTTATCTCCTTTTTTCATATTCCACCAAAGATGC